GACCTGTTAATGAAATCATTATAAGATAGGGAAAAGCCATTATCATCTAATAAATCATGAATAAAAATAATGCCTTGGCTATACCAATCACTTTTAAACAGAGATTTCCTATTAATAATTGCAGCCCTATTGTTCCAAAGAGTGGAGTTGTGAGGGGAAAAGTTGTGGGTAAATATCATTTTCCAAAAAAGCAGTACTTGTTTATGAAAATTAGATACCTTCAGAGGAATTTTGCAAGGGTCGAGATCACATCTCAACACAAATTCAAGGCCGCCAATATTTTTAAAAATGTGGTTAGGAATATGGTACCATATTGAGTGTGACTTTGTTAAATACTCTTTCAGCCATTTTATTCTGAATGTACCAAGAAGAGATTCAAAATCAATGGCTCTCAAACCTCCGTGTTCATACTCTTTCACCATATGGAATTTACGTAAATAATGTGTTTTATTTTTCCATATAAATTTAAATAAAATTGAATTCACCGATTTAACTACTCTTGGGGCAGTATACAAAGCTTGAGATAAATAAATAAGTTTGGATATTCCCTCAGTTTTAGTCAAGAGAATTCTACCCAATATAGATAGGTCTCGAGATAACCAATGATTTAAGGATTTTTTCATACTTTCTATTTTAGAGTAAAAATTTGAGTGTTCTCTATTAACAACATTTTTAGTAATCATAACCCCTAAATACTTAACCTCTTTTTTCACTGGAATGCCCTCTATATCGTCTACGTTACAATTATGGATCGCCATTAATTCACATTTTTTTAAGTTTAAAGTCAGACCTGATGTCTTTGAGAAGACAGAATTTTTTTCAATAACTAATGGAAGCACTTTATTTTTAAGAAATAAAAGAGTGTCATCTGCAAATTGGCTTATAGTAAAGGTCCTACCAAGAATGTCTATGCCTATATTATCCTCAAAATTTTTAATAAATAAAGACATTAGTTCAACTGCAAGATTAAAAAGTAATGACGAATTCCTCGTTTAATTTGGATTCTGGGTGATGAACCAACATTAAGAGAAACACTACTAAAAATATCATTATAAAACATGGAAATTACTTTACAAAATATAGGACCAAAACCAAAAATTTCTAAGGATCTAAACAGAAAAGAGTGTTCAAGGGTATCAAATGCCTTTAAAAAGTCTAGAAATAGAAGTAAGCTTGTCTGAGGAATTAAATAGTTATAATCAAGCATATCAAGAACTAGTCTAATATGACTGTGAATACTTCTCCCTTTGATAAAAGCCGATTGTGTTTCACTGATAATTTCACCAATACCCTTTTTTAGTCTATTCGCAAAAACATGAGAGAGCAATTTGAAATCATTACATAAAAGAGTTATTGGTCTCCAATTGTCTAACAATAATTTATCTTTGTTCGACTTTGGAACTAGAATAATTAAACCATGCTTCATTGATGGCGATAATTCAGCTTTATCTATACATTCTTTTAAAGCTTCGAAAACTAAGATTCTTATTTCGGGCCAAAAATGTTTATATACAGGTGCATCTCAATAAATTAGAATGTCGTGGAAAAGTTCATTTATTTCAGTAATTCAACTCAAATTGTGAAACTCGTGTATTAAATAAATTCAATGCACACAGACTGAAGTAGTTTAAGTCTTTGGTTCTTTTAATTGTG